GTTCTCTTGATCTTAGCCAGTCTGACTGGGGTAAGGTGAAATCTTAAAGTGGTTTTAATTTGCGTTTCCCTAATTATAAGTGATGTTGAACATCTTTTAAGATTCTTCTTAGTCACCTTCTTCTTTTGAGAACTCTCTGATCAGCTCCTTAGCCCATCTTTTAATTGGGTTGCTTCTTGTCTTGGTTCTCTGTTTTTTGAGTTCGATATAAATTCTGATTATTAAACCTCTGTCAGATATGTCGCTGGTGGAGATTTTCTCCCATTCTGTGGGTTTTCTGTTTGCTTCCTTGGTTGTCTCTTTTGACGTACAGAAGCTTTTTAGTTTAATAAGGTCCCATTTGTTAATTCTTGCCCTTGTTTCCTGAGCAATTGATGTCCAATTTAGAAAATACTTTCCTACACCTATATCTTGGAGGTTTTTCCCAATGGTTTCTTCTAATAGTTTCAGAGTTTCAGGCTTTATATTGAGGTCTTTGAGCCATTTGGAATTGACTTTTGTGCAGGGCGAAAGATGGGGGTTTAGTTTCACTCTTCTACAAGTGGAGGTCCAGTTTTGTCAGCACCATTTGTGGAATATGCTTGTCATTCCTTCAGTTAATGTTCTTGGCCCCTTTGTCAAATATCAGGTGGCTAAAATTGCAATTACTCATATTTGGGTCTTCAATTTTGTTCCATTTGTCTATGGGTCTATTTTTGTGCCAGTACCATGTTGTTTTTATGACTATAGCTCTGTAACACAGCTTGAAATCTGGTATAGTAATCCCCCCTGGCATTGCTCTTAGTGCTCAGTGTTGTTTTGGATATCCGAGGTCTTTTGTGCTTCCATATGAATCTTTGGGTAGTTTTTTCCAATTCTGTGAAAAATGTCATGGGGATATTGATTGGCATTGCGTTGAATCTATATATGACTTTTGGTAGGATGGTCATTTTCACAATATTAATTCTTCCAATCCATGAGCATGGGAGGTCCTTCCATCTTCTGATGTCTTCCTCAATTTCTTTCTTTAAAGAGTTAAAATTTTCCTTGTAGAGCTCTTTAATGCCTTTGGTCAGGTTTATTCCAAGATATTTTTTTTGTGGCTATTGTGAATGGGAGGGTTTCCCTGTGCTCTTTCTCTGACTGCTTGTCATTGGTATATAGAAAGGCTATAGACTTTTGTAGGTTAATTTTGTAACCTGACACTTTTCTGAACGCGTTAATAATTTCTAGGAGTTTTCAGGTGAAATTTTTGACATCTCTTAGACATAATATCATATCATCTGCAAAAAGGGATAATTTGATCTTTTTGAGACAGGGTCTCCCTGTAGTCCCACCTGTCCTGGAACTCACTATGTACACCAGGGTCACCTTGAACTCACAGAGATCTGCCTGCCTCTGCCTCCTGAGTGCTGGGATTAAAGGCATGTGCCACCACATCCAGCAACAT